TTGCTGCGCGGACCTGAGGATGAAGCTCCCTGACACGCGCCCCACCTCCATCCAGCTCCTCTCCGTCGGGTGACAGCCGCCGGAGAGCCGCAAAGTCGCCGTTTTTCCGCTCTGTCGGGTGACAGCCGCCGAAGACGACTCGGCGGCCCATTTCATTAATTTCTAGACTTCGCGAGAAGATCTAGAGATTGCCCACGTCGTCTTTGCCCAAGGAGAGCCTTCGAGGCTGTGGACACTGCACGACGATCCTCCCGAACGCTCAGGATTCTGGTGCATCGCCGACGCATCGCCATCGCGACGCCGGAACTCTGTTTTCCTGCTTTCAAACTTACTTTACGCTTCATTTAGTGATACTTTTTGTGATTTTAATTTACCAAAATATACTTTGTTCTATTACGATTCTTTCGGCTTTTACAGATCTTAATTTGATTAACTAAATCGTCTATAATCGCTTTCGTAAGAATCGTCGGGCGGAACTCTATTTCTGCCCGATTCGCGTTCGCCGGGTGATGACGTCATCTCAATGTCCGCACCCTTATTTCCTTCTTTTTCGTGAATTTTAAATATATTTCCTTTTTATTTCCTAGTATAAAATTCATAGAAAATCGTATTCATTGAGACAAATTCTGAATAATTACCAAATATTATATTACATCCCTGTGATCGACCTGGAAAATTACCGCTATTTTTGGAAGTTTTATTGAATTATAATTGATATATTTATTCAGAAATACTTCTAAATATCTGAAAATTCGTATTTTCTAGTTTTATAAATTTTAGATTTGCGTGATTTAATATACAACGACTGAGTCACGTCAAATTTTGGCACCGTTGCCGGGGATGTATTGCATAATATTTAGTATTTTTCTGTTTTTCTCTTAGAGTACACAAAAAGAAATTAACTCTTGTTTTATTTTCTTTTTGCTGATTTTTTATTAGAAAAAGGAAACGAAAAGAAGCAAGGCAAGGACTGGAGCATCCTGAAGGAGGGTAACAGTTACTAAATTTTTCCCTCAAATTTATTGATTTTTATGCATGGAAGAAGATCTTTGCATCCGAGGCTAGAAAATCCTTTCATTATTTCATTCAAAACTAAAAATCCGAAAGAAAAAATAATTTTGATAGATCCTGAAGAAAGTACAGGTCAAACTGAGAAAAATCTTATGGCCATGAAAAATTATTATATCCCTGATTCATTTCAAAGAGCATCCAATATTAGAGTCCCATTAGCACCCAATGTTAAATTCGAAATAAATCCAAGAATTTTTCAAATGCTCCCTAATTTTCATGGATTGCCTTTAGAGGAACCTCATCAGCACTTAGAAAAATTTCATATGGTCTGTGATTTAGTTAATCTCCCTCAAGTTACACCGAAAATTATTAAGATGAAATTATTCCCTCATACACTTAGGGACAAAGCTAGCCATTGGCTATCCACATTAGATAGAGAATTAACTAGCTAGAAAGACATAGAATAGGCATTTCTTCGAAAATTTTATCCCTTAGGAAAAACTCAAAATATGAGAAAACATATATGGAGTTTTTCTCAAAGACCAAGAGAAACTTTGCATGAGACATGGGAAAAATTCAAAGATTTACTTAGAAAGTGTCCTCATCATGCTATACCCAAGTGGCAGCTCAATAGAATTTTTTATGATGGATTATTAGAACAACATAGAAATATGGTTGATTCTATATGTGGAGGAGCTTTTATGGAGAAAACTCCTGATGAGATTTACAGTCTTTATGAGAATTTAAGTGAAAATTCTAGAGATCAAGCCTCTTTTGAATTATATGACAGGGATAAGAAGAGAGGAATTTATGAATTGCATCATGATGATGATTCTAAACTTAGAAATGAGGTTAATCAGATTAATCAAAGATTAGAAAAAATTGATTTACTTATTGACAATATTAGGAAGCCTTTTAACCCTCAACTTAATTCAAATAGTACATGTCCTATGTATGGTGAAAATGATTATTTTGAATTTCAATGTTATAATTTAGATCAATCATTTCACCCTATGCAAGAATAAGTGCAAGTAGCTCACGGTTTTAATAGAAACATGGAACCTTTTTCAAATTCTTATAATCCTAATTGGAGGAATAATTTTTCATGGAGAGACCCAAATAATATTCAAAATCCAGAAGCACTTAGACCCAATTCAAACTCTAAATTTCGTCCAAAACAAGAAAACAGATTTTAGAAAAATTAGCCCTCTCAAATCCAACCTGATGCTATGGAAATGATGCAGCAAATGAGTCAAATGATGCAACAAACTATGAATCAAATGATGCTGCACCAGAAACAAATTATAGAGGCTCTTGGGAATAAGAGAGAAGAGGGACAACTACCTAGTCAGCCCATAGAAAATCCAGGGAACCGCCCAACAATAGGATTTCAGCAAGCGGAGTCTAGTAGCATGAATCTAGGAAAAAACCCACGAAATGAAAATGTTAGGATAGTGAATGCATTAAGGAGTGGTAAGATCTTACCTGATCCTTATCCCCAAACATTAGAAGAAAAAGAAAACGTGGACAAACCAAAACAAAATCAAATAGGAGTAGAAGAGGATTTTATAGATTCTACCCAAGAAATTTCGAAAGAGAGGACGACCATTCCATTTCCTAAAGCTCTAGAGCCTAGACAAAGAAAGAAAAAGGAACACAATGAAGAAATAAAGAAAATTTTACAAGATGTGCAAATTAGCCTTCCTTTACTCACTGCCATTGAACATATTCTTGAATATGCTAGAGTTTTGAAAGAAATGTGTACACCAAAAAGGGCACCTAGAGTAGAAAAATTATCTATGCATGCTAGTGCATTATTATTAAATCAATTACCATATAAATTGAGAGATACAGGTGCCCCTTTAATTTCGTGTGATATTGGTGGATTCATTTTTCAGAATGCATTACTTGACACCGGTGCTAGTATTAATTTATTACCTGCAAGTATTTGTGATAAATTTAATATTTCTGATCTTAAACCTTCTACTGTTACCTTACAATTTGCTGATAGATCCATAAAACATCCTAAAGGTATTTTAGAAAATGTGATAGTGACAGTTAAAGGGTGTAAATTTCCAGCTGATTTTGTAGTGCTGAAAATGGATTTTAATGGACAGTTTTATGATACGCCAATCATCCTAGGGAGACCATTTTTGCATACAGCAAAGATGAATATTGATTTTCCCACAGGTATTGCAAAAATTTCATGTGGAGATCAATCAGTAGAAATTAAAATTTTTGAGGTACCAAATGATCTTAAGAAATCACAAGTATATGATTGTCATACCATAGATCTTCTAGATTATTTTGATGATCCAGATGTTATTGATGACTGTGTGCTGGAAGAATTAGAGGAAATAGAGAATATAAATTTGGGAGAAAAGAAAGAAGAAGATCATCTGAATTTAGAGTTGAAACCTCTTCCCTCTAGTTTAAAATATATGTTTTTGGAGGAAAATAATTCATTTCCTATTATTATTGTAGCTGATTTGAGTGATGAACAGGAAGAAGAATTATTAGATGTACCTCGAAAAAATAAGAAGGCTATGGGCTGGAAAAAGGACGATCTAAGGGGCATTGATATGAGTGTATGCATGCATAGTATATATCTAGAGGAGGGGGCCAGAACTAGCAGGGAACCACAACGAAGATTAAATCCTAACATGATGGAAATTGTAAAAAAAGAAATTTTAAAGTGGCTGGCTGCTGATATTATTTATCCTATTTCAGATAGCAAATGAGTTAGTCCTACACAAGTAGTGCCAAAAAAATCAGGGATCACGGTTATAAAAAATGAAAATGGGGATGAAATACAAACAAGATTAACTACCGGTTGGAGGGTTTGCATTGATTATAGAAAATTAAATTTAGTTACTAGAAAAGATCATTTTCCCCTATCATTTACTAATCAAATTTTAGAAAAATTAGCTGGAAAAAACTTTTTTTGTTTTCTCGATGGATACTCTGGTTATAATCAAATTTATATAAACCCTTTAGATCAAGAAAAAACAACTTTCACTTGTCCATTTGGTACTTTTGCTTTTAAACGCATGCCTTTTGGTCTTTATAATGCTCCAACCACATTTCAAAGATGTATGCTGTCTATTTTTTCTGATATGATTGGAAAATGCATGAAAATTTTTATGGACGATTGTTCTGTTTTTGGTGAATCATTTGATGAATGCGTAAATCATTTACAGCATGTACTTGAGAAATGCATAGAGAAAACATTAGTTTTGAGTTGGGAGAAATCACATTTTATGGTTAAAGAGGGAGTTGTGTTGGGTCATATTGTGAGTAAAAGGGGTTTAGAGGTGGATAGAGCAAAAATTGATATTATATCTAAAATGAAACCTCCAAATTCAGTAAAATAGATTAGATCTTTCTTGGGTCATGCAGGTTATTACAGAAAATTTATTCAAGATTTTTCGAAGATTTCTAAACCTCTCACCATGCTATTATCTAAAGATGTGCCTTTTAATTTTGATGAGAAATGTTTTGAGTCTTTTTCCGAAATAAAAAGATTACTTACTGAGGCACCCATTTTACAAGCTCTTGATTGGTCCCTTCCCTTTGAAATAATGTGTGATGCATCAAATTATGTAGTGGGGGCCGTTCTAAGACAAACAAAAGAGTCAAAACCCATAGTAATTTCATATGCTAGTAAAACTATATCCGATGCTCAATTAAATTATACCACGACTGAAAAAGAGTTGTTAGCTGTAGTATTTTTGTTAGAAAGGTTTAGATCATATATTTTGGGAGCTAAAATTATTATTTATACTGATCATGCAGCATTAAAATATCTGTTAAATAAGAAAGATGCAAAGCCACGTTTATTAAGATGAATTTTATTGTTGTAGGAATTTGACTTAGAAATAAAAGATAAAAAAGGTTTCGAGAATGCTGTTGCTGACCATCTTTCTAGATTAAGTGACACAGGAATAAATGCAGCACCTTTACAAGACGCATTTCCAGATGAACAATTGATGGCAGCTCAACATCAACCATCACCATGGTATGCACATATTGTTAATTTTCTAGTTTCTAGAAAAACTCCAGAACAGTGGGATAAGAACAAAAAAAGTCATTTCTTTTCTAAGATTAGAAATTATTTTTGGCATGATCCTGATTTATATTACTTGGGCAATGATCAAATTTTAAGGAGATGTGTTCCTGAAGAAGAATACCATAACATTATTAACATGTGCCATTCATCTAACTGTGGAGGACACTTCTCTGGACGAAAAACAGCTGCAAATTTTTTTCAGTGTGGTTTTTATTGGCCTACAATCATTAGAGATTCTATAGAATTTAGTAGAACATGTATTTCATGCCAATCTATAGGTAACATGAGTAAAAAAGATGAAATGCCCATGAGTAACATGTTAGTAGTCGAAATTTTTGATGTATGGGGAATAGATTTCATGGGTCCCTTCCCATCAGCTGAAAAATATGAATATATTTTGCTTGCTGTTGATTATGTGTCGAAGTGGGTGGAAGCTATTCCTACTAGAACTAATGATCATAAAATTGTGATGAAATTTGTGCAGGAAAATATTTTTTCGAGATTTAGATGTCCTAGAGTGATTATTAGTGATGGAGGAACACATTTTACAAATAAAAATTTCAGAGAACTGTTGAAAAAGAATGGAGTACACCATAGAGTAGCCACTCCATATCATCCCCAAACAAATGGGCAAGCTGAAGTAGCAAATAGGGAAATTCAGAGAATTTTGAAAAAAATAGTTAGACCAGATAGGAAAGATTGGCCCACGAAATTACAAGATGCATTATGAGCTTATAGAACAGCTTATAAAAATCCCATAGGTATGTCCCCATTTCGTCTCATTTTTGGAAAGCCATGTCATCTTCTTGTAGAAATAGAGCATAAAGCATTATGGGCTATAAAAAAATTATGTATGGATGAAAAATCAGCTAGTGGGCATAGAATTTTTCAACTACATGAACTAGAGGAGTTGAGGAATGAAGCTTATGAAAATCATAGAATATATAAAGAAAAAACTAAAACTTTTCATGATAAATACATTAGCAGAAAAAAATTTGATGTTGGACAAAAAGTGTGGTTATATGATTCTAGGCTGAAATTATTCCCAGGAAAATTAAAATCAAAATGGAAAGGGCCTTATGTGGTGGAAGAGACATATGATCATGGGGCTATAATGATTAAAGATCCTAAAAGTGATCATAACTTTAAGGTAAATGGACAGCGGCTTAAACATTACATAGAACATGAACGCCTTGCAGAAAAAGAAATTTTATTATTAAAAGAAATTCAAGAGTAAGATCAAGGAGTCCAACTGGAGACATTAAATTCAGTGCTGCATGGGAGGCAACCCATGGTTTTTATTTCATTTTGTTTGATTTTTTTTTTAAGCTCTGTTTTTCTTAGAATTTCGTAGTACTTGTTTTTGTATTTGTTTTTTGAAAAAGTGCAGGAGGAGGCGTGTAAGACGAAGTGGAAAATTAAAAACGAAGTTGAGGTGATGTCTTTCGGAGCTTTATCATTTATGACAATATTTTTAATGCTAAACTTTGCATATATGCATGCTTCACTTGAAAATTATATTTTCTACATATTCTGTTTCGATTTTTCTGTGTCATTGAGGACAATGTCATTTTTAAGTTGGGGGGTGAAGTATTCATTATTAATTTATGCTGTAGGACGATTAAGAACATGTGTTTGCATTTTATTCAACTTAGAACAACAACTAAAAAAGTAAAAAAAGATCGCCGAATTCGGAAAAATTGCAACATCTATTTTCTAATTTTTTGTCAGGAACAACAGATTGTCAAAAACAGCAGACGAAAAAACAACCCGAAATTTGAAATTATAGAGACCCTTTTCTCACATTTCAATCCCCTAGACATATATTACTGAAATTTGAAATTACAGCTATAAAGAGGATAGTTTTGATTTATTTTTGACAAATTTATTGCTGCTAAAATAGAACTGAAAACTGAAAAAAGAACTGTCAGAACTATCTAATTTACAAATTTCTTACATCATATTGCATGCATGAAAAATTAAATCAATTAGATTGATTGATACAAAAAGATACTAGGAAGATTATTATTGAGTCAAAAGAATGATCTAGTAGCATGAAATGTTGGAATACTCCTTGGATACATGATAGATAACATGGATTTGATTTTACAGATTTTCACTTCATGATCTTGATGGATAATATTTACTTGATGTGAAAATTTGATTGATCATTTGAGTTTAATGGAGATTTTTGCACCCTGATCTATAGGACTTGTGAGGAGAAATCACTTATTTCGAAAAAAAAAAAAAAAGAGAGAGCAATGTGAAAAATCTAGAAACGAAGAGTACACATGGAGGGTGTGAGACATCATTCTCATTGTCGAAAATGGTGTATAGAAAAACACTTGCTGCAAAATAAGTGGATCAAGTGAAAGCCCTGAAAATAAAGAGTACACATGGAGGGTGTGAGACATCATTCTTATTGTCGAAATTTATCTACAGGAAAAGCTACTTATCCACTATATATAAAGAAAGAAGAAATATAGTGCAAACTTCAAAAATCAAGCCATAGAAAAAGGGAAATGTAGGATCAATATTAGTCTTGAATGAGTATTGATAATTGGAACATCTTGTAAATACATCTATGAGTGAAGAAGTGATAATTATGTGAATAGAAGAAGTGAAGTCTAGATTGTTATTCCAAAGAGTGTTTAAACATTTAAGTGCTTGACATCATTCTTAAATACTTGATATAAGAATCCAAAGTGTCAAAAGGTGCATCATTTCTAATTGTATTTTTTTCTTTCTGTATTGAAATATGATGTTTGAGATTTGTAAATTTTTATTTTCGTAATTCTATTGCTAAGGGACTAGCAATGATTTAAGTTGGGGGGTGTGATAAGTCTTCATTATCATGAGTTAATAATTAGTAAATAATATAGTTTTAGCCTTAACTCATGATAAATAGACTTATATTTGTGTTAAAGTGTGAAAAGTGGGTTTCAGTTGATTAATGTGATTTTTTAGGTAATTATGTGATTTTATACGAATTTATATGATTTTTACAGTCTTACTTTTAAGATAAATGAAGAAAAAGAAATAAAATATTGCAAAATGGGGGGGACCCGCCGGCCAGCCGGGCCCGCAAGCGGGTTGGAAGCTCAGTCGGGGAGTAGCCGCGAGCAAGGGCTCGAGTGACTTGGACCGATAGGGGCACGTGTGCGCCACTCCCCTTCCACGTCACCAGTGGCCAGCCGGCTGTGGGGCAAGGAGTGGTCGTACACACGAAAGAAGGGACTTTGCTTAAAAAGCTAACATTACTATATATTCGCCTAAAAAATCGGCGCACAACCGATGTGGGACTAAACCCGTGTCACACCTTCCTCAGAACGGGCGGACAACCGGCGCGGGTTCGAATCCTCCCAGAGTCAAAATTCATATATTTTTATCTGATTATCGCGACTTTCCTGCAGATCGCCGATGAAGGATTAAGCAACCAGAATCGCTGGATCATTGGCAAAAATCTTGTCAACACGATTCACGGAGCATTGCTACTAAAATTGCTGAACGATTCATGATAAAAGGATTGCGAATCCATCGAGTAAATCATCTCCGATTGATCGACGAACAAGCCGTCGTCGGGAAGAGGACGATCCGCTGGGAGACGAGTCGCCACCTCCTGAGAGCGTACCAGATGTGATGAAGAGCCTCCTTGACGTGACTTAGTCGTTGTATATTAAATCATGCAAATCTAAAATTTATAAAACTAGAAAATACAAATTTTCAGATATTTAGAAGTATTTCTGAATAAATATATCAATTATAATTCAATAAAACTTCCAAAAATAGCGGTAATTTTCCAAGTCGATCACAGGGATGCAATATAATATTTGGTAATTATTCAGAATTTTTCTCAATGAATACGATTTTCTATGAATTTTATACTAGAAAATGAAAAGGAAATATATTTAAAATTCACGAAAAGAAGGAAATAAGGGTGCGGACATTGAGATGACGTCAGTGCCCGGTGAACGCGAATTGAGCGGAAATAGAGTTCCGCCCGGTGATTCTTACGAAAGCGATTACAGACGATTTAGTTAATCAAATTAAGATCTGTAAAAGCCAGAAGAATCATAATAGAACAAAGTATATTTTGGTAAATTAAAATCAGAAAAAGTATCACTAAATGAAGCGTAAAGTAAGTTTGAAAGCAGGAAAACAGAGTTCCGGCATCGCGATGGCGATGCGTCGGCGATGCACCGGAATCCTGAGCATTCGGGAGGATTGTTGTGCAGTGTCCACGGCCTCGAAGGCTCTCCTTGGACAAAGACGACATGGGCAATCTCTAGATCTTCTCGCGAAGTCTAGAAATTAATGAAATGGGTCGCCGAGTCGTCTCCGGCGGCTGTCACCCGGTGGAGCGGAAAAACGGCGACTTTGCGGCTCTCTAGCGGCTGTCACCCGACGGAGAGGAGCTGGATGGAGGTGGGGCGCGTGTCAGGGAGCTTCATCCTCAGGTCCGCGCAGCAAGAGGAGGCTCTTCACTGCATCTAGTACCATCTCAGGAGGTGGCGACTCGTCTCTCAGCGGATCGTCCTCTTCCCGACGACGGCTTGTTCGTCAATCAATCGGAGATGATTTACTCGATGGATTCGCGATCCTTTTATCGCGAATCGTTCAGCAAAATTTTAGTAGCAATGCTCCGCGAATCACGTTGACGAGATTTTTGCCGATGATCCAACGATTCTGGTTGCTTAATCCTTCACCGGCGATCTGCAGGAAAGTTGCGATAATCAGATAAAAATATATGAATTTTGACTTTGGGAGGATTCGAACCCGCGCCAGTTGTCCGCCCCTTCTGAGGAAGGTGTGACGCGGGTTTAGTCCCACATTAGTTGTGCGCCGATTTTTCAAGCGAATATATAGTAATGTTAGCTTTGTGAGCAAAGTCTCGTCTCTCGCGTGTACGACCACTCCTTGCCCCACAGCCGGCTAGCCACCGGTGACGTGGAAGGGGAGTGGCGCACACGTGCCCCTATCGGTCCAAGCCGCTCGAGCCCCTGCTCGCAGCTACTCCCCGACTGAGCTTCCGACCCCCTTGCGGGCCCGGCTGGTCGGCGGGTCCCCCCCTCATTTTGTCTTATTTTTATTTCTTTTTCTTTATTTATCTCAAAAGCAAGATTGTAAAAATCATATAAATTCATGTAAAATCACATAATTATCCAAAAATTCACATTAATCAATTGAAAACCACTTTTCACACTTTAACACAAATATAAGTCTATTTATCAGGAGTTAAGGCTAAAACTATATTATTTACTAATTATTAACTCATGATAATGAAGACTTATCACACCCCCCAACTTAAATCATTGCTAGTCCCTTAGCAATGGAATTATGAAAATAAAAATTTACAAATCTTAAACATCATATTTCAATACAGAAAGAAAAAAATACAATTAGAAATGATGCACCTTTAGACACTTTGGATTCTTATATCAAGTATTTAAGAATGATGTCAAGCACTTAAATGTTTAAACACACCTTGGAATAACAATCTAGACTTCACTTCTTCTATTCACATCTTTATCACTTCTTCAGTCATAGATGTATTTACAAGATGTTCCAATTATCAATACTCATCCAAGAATAATATTGATCCTATATTTCCCTTTTTCTATGGCTTGATTTTTGAAGTTTGCACTATATTTCTTCTTTCTTTATATATAGTTGATAAGTAGCTTTTCCTATAGACAAATTTCGACAATAAGAATGATGTCTCACACCCTCCATGTGTACTCTTTATTTTCAGGACTTTCACTTTATCCACTTATTTTGCAGCAAGTGTTTTTCTATACATGATTTTCGACAATGAGAATGATGTCTCACACCCTCCATGTGTACTCTTCGTTTCTAGATTTTTCACATTGCTCTCTCTTTTTCTTTTCCGAAATAAGTGATTTCTCCTCACAAGTCCTATAGATCAGGGTGCAAAAATCTCCATTAAGCCCAAATGATCAATCAAATTTTCACATCAAGTAAATATTATCCATCAAGATCATGAAGTGAAAATCTGTAAAATCAATGTTATCTATCATGTATCCAAGAAGTATTCCAACATTTCATGCTACTAGATCATTCTTTTGACTCAATAATAATCTTCCTAGTATCTTTTGGTATCAATCAATCTAATTGATTTAATTTTTCATGCATGCAATATGATGTAAGGAATTTGTAAATTAGATAGTTCTGACAGTTCTGTTTTCTGTTTTCAGTTCTATTTTTAGCAGCAATAAATTTGTCAAAAATAAATCAAAACTATCTTCTTTATAGCTGTAATTTCGAATTTTAGTAACATATATCTAGGGGATTGAAATGTGAGAAAAGGGTCTCTATAATTTCAAATTTCGAGTTGTTTTTTCGTCTGCTATTTTTGACAGTCTGTTGTTCTTGACAGAAAACTAGAAAATAGATGTTGCAATTTTTCCGAATTTTTTTTTTTTTTTTAAGTTTCTGTTCTAAGTTGAATAAAATGCAAACACATGTTCTTAATCGTCTTACAGCATAAATTAATAATGAATACTTCACCCCCCAACTTAAAAATGACATTGCCTCAATGACATAGAAAAATCGAAACAGAATATGCAGAAAATATAATTTTCACGTGAAGCATGCATATATGCAAAGTTAAGCATTAAAAATGTTGTCATAAATGATAAAGCTCCGAAAGACATCACCTCAACCTCGATTTTAATTTTCCACTTCATCTTACACTCCTCCTCTTGCACTTTTTCGAAAAAACAAATACAGAAACAAGTACTGCGAAATTCTAAGAAAAACAGAGCTTAAAAAAAAAAATCAAATAGAATGAAATAAAAATCATGGGTTGCCTCCCATGTAGCGCTGAATTTAATGTCTTCAGCTGGACAGCTCTTAGATCATATAAGATGATCTATGGCCATCAAAATATATTTGTATCCCAAGGTAAGTTTCATGATATTCTTTTTCAGATTTAGCATAAATTCATGTACTTCATATATATACCTTGACATACTTTCAGCCAAAACAAGATGGAAATTAACAAAATTTTCCCAAAAATAATATTTTTGTTTTGAAAAGAATCTTTCCTCATTTCTATCTTGTTTTGTAAGGCTCTCATTCATTAATAAATACTTCCTATTAATAGACCATAAAATGTGATCAGGCCATATAATTTTCAAATTAGCTCTTACCCAATCTAAATTCTTTTCATCTAAATTGATATCTCTAATTCTTCCACTCACCCATTTCTTAATGTCTTCTTTTATCTGCATAATCTTCCCCTGCTCTATTTTATCTTCCATACATATTTGTTCAATTTGTGAGGAGTGAAATATTTCAAGCTTAGAAATAATTCTAATGGGCTGTGGGTTTTGAAGGATGGAAGGATTGTCTTCTTTAATCTCAGATCTAATGAATTCAATAAAATTCAAATTTTCTCCTAAAAAATTATCTCTATATTCATATCCATTATTTTCATTTCTCCCCATTAGTTGAATCAACTCTTTTTCTAGTTTTTCGTTTCTCAACTCATCAAATTCTTCATCTTTCCAAGAGCTATCTTTTAATTTCGGTATATGATATATATCATCATCCTCACAATCAACATCCATGGCTGCAAAATTATGATTAGATTCATTAATTTCGTCTCCTACGTGTCCCAAATCAACTGATTTTTCCTCACCTAAAATATGTTTTTCTTCATTTCTGTCCTTACTCCCTTCTACTAAAATTTGGATGATTTTTCCATGATCAGCTGCTGTTTCTTCATCTAAGGGCTCTTTCTCCTCATCATCCTCACTATATTCATTCATCAATTGTGAGCAATAAATGATTTTATTCAAATTTTCTGCTACTATATTTTCGGCCTTAATATTCTCATTTACTTTTAATGGATCATCAATTTCTTCTTCTAATAATTGGAAATAAGGATCAGGTAAAATATTCTCACTCAATGTATTCACTGTCCTAACATTTTCATTTCGTGGGTTTTTTTCTAAATTTATCCAGCTAGACTCTTCTTGCTGAAATCCTATTGTTGGATAGTTTCTTGAATTTTCTATGGGCTGACTAAGTAGTTGTCTCTCTTCTCTCTTATCCCTAAGAGCCTCTATAATTTGTTTCTGGTGCAGCATCATTTGATTCATAATTTGTTGCATCATTTGGCTCATTTTCTGCATCATTTCCATAGCATCAGGTTGGATTTGAGAGGACTGATTTTTCTGAAATGTATGTTCCTGTTTTGGACGAAATTCAAAATGTGAATTGGATCTAAGTGCTTCTGGATTTTGAATATTATTTGGGTTTCTCCACGAAAAATTATTCCCCCAATTAGGATTATAAGAATTAGAAAAATATTCTCTATTTTTACTAAAATCGTGGGGTACTTGTTCTTGCCAAGGATGATATTGAAATTCGAAATGATCATTTTCACCATACATAAAATCTGTACTATTTGAATTAAATTGAGGGTTAAGAGGCTTTCTAATATTGTCAATAAGAAAATTAAGTTTTTCTAATCTTTGATTAATCTGATTAACCTCATTTCTAAATTTAGATTCATTATCATGGTGCAATTCATGAATTCCTCTCTTCTTATCCCTGTCATATAATTCAAAAGAGGCTTGATCTCTAGAATTTTCACTTAAATTCTCATAAAGACTGTAAATCTCATCAGAGGTTTTCTCTATAAAAGCTCCTCCACATATAGAATCAACCATATTTCTATGTTGTTCTAATAATACATCATAAAAAATTCTATTGAGCTGCCACTTGGGTATAGCATGTTGGGGACATTTTCTAAGTAAATCTTTGAATGTTTCCCATGTCTCATGTAAAGTTTCTCCTGGTCTTTGAGAAAAATTCCATATATGTTTTCTCATATTTTGAGTTTTTCCTAAGGGATAAAATTTTCGAAGAAATGCCTGTTTTATGTCTTTCCAGCTAGTTAATTCTCTATCTAATGTGGATAGCCAATGGCTAGCTTTGTCCCTAAGTGTATGAGGGAATAATTTCATCTTAATAATTTCCGGTGTAACTTGAGGGAGATTAACTAAATCACAGACCATATGAAATTTTTCTAAGTGCTGATGAGGTTCCTCTAACGGCAATCCATTAAAATTAGGGAGCATTTGAAAAATTCTTGGATTTATTTTGAATTTAACATTGGGTGCTAATGGGACTCTAATATTGGATGCTCTTTGAAATGAATCAGGGATATAATAATTTTTCATGGCCATAAGATTTTTCTCAGTTTGACCTGTACTTTCTTCAGAATCTATCAAAATTAATTTTTCTTTCGGATTTTTAGTTTTGAATGAAATAATGAAAGGATTTTCAATTATAAAATTTATAAAACTAGAAAATACGAATTTTCGGATATTTAGAAGTATTTCTAAATAAATATAGCAATTATTGTCAATAAAACTTCCAAAAACAGCGGTAATTTTCCAAGTCGATCACAGGGATGTAATATAATATCTGGTAATTATTCAGAATTTTTCTCAATGAATACGATTTTCTATGAATTTTATACTAGAAAATAAAAAAAAAAATTTAAAATTCATGAAAAAGGGAAATAAGGGCGCGGACGTCAGGATGACGTCAGCGCCCGGCGAACGCGAATCGGGCGGAAACAGAGTTCAGCCCGGCAATTCTTACGTAAGCGATTACAGACGATTTAATTAATCAAATTAAGATCTGTAAAAGCCGAAAGAATCGTAATAGAACAAAGTATATTTTAGTAAATTAAAATCACAAAGAAATATCACTAAATGAAGCATAAAGTAAGTTTGAAAGCAGGAAAACAGAGTTCCGCCGTCGCGACGGCGATGCGTCGGCGATGCACTGGAATCCTGAGCATTCGGGAGGATCGTTGTGCAGTGTCCACGGCCTCGAAGGCTCTCCTTGGACAAAGACGACATGGGCAATCTCTAGATCTTCTTGCGAAGTCTAGAGATCAATGAAATGGGTCGCTGAGTCGTCTCCAGCGGCTGTCACCCAGCAGAGCGGAAAAACAGCGACTTTGCAGCTCTCCGGCGGCTGTCACCCGACGGAGAGGAGCTGGATGGAGGTGGGGCGCGTGTCAGGGAGCTTCATCCTCAGGTCCGCGCAGCAAGAGGAGGCTCTTCATCGCATCTGGTACCATCTCAAGAGGTGGCGACTCGTCTCCCAGCGGATCGTCCTCTTCCCGACGACGGCTTGTTCGTCGATCAATCGGAGATGATTTACTCGATGGATTCGCGATCCTTTTATCGCGAATCGTTCAGCAATTTTAGTAGCAATGCTTCGCGAATCGCATTGACGAGATTTTTGCCGATGATCTAGCGATTCTCGTTGCTTAATCCTTCACCGGCGATTTGCAAGAAAGTCGCGATAATCAGATAAAAATATATGAATTTTGACTCTAGGAAGATTCGAACCCACGCCGGTTGTCCACCCCTTCTGAGGAAGGTGTGACGCGGGTTTAGTCCCACATCGGTTGTGCGCCGATTTTTCAGGCGAATATATAGTAATGTTAGCTTTTTAAGCAAAGTCCCGTCTCTCGCGTGTACGACCACTCCTTGCCCCACAGCCGGCTAGCCACCGGAGACGTGGAAGGGGAGTGGCGCACACGTGCCCCTATCGGTCCAAGCCGCTTGAGCCCCTGCTCGCAGCTACTCCCCGACTGAGCTTCCGACCCGCTTGTGGGCCCGGCTGGTCGGCGGGTCCCCCCCTCATTTTGTCTTATTTTTATTTCTTTTTCTTCATTTATCTCAAAAGCAAGACTGTAAAAATCATATAAATTCATGTAAAATCACATAATTACCCAAAAATTCACATTAATTAGCTGAAAACCACTTTTCACACTTTAACACAAATATAAGTCTATTTATCATGAGTTAAGGCAAAAACTATATTATTTACTAATTATTAACTCATGATAATGAAGACTTATCACTCCTCTTGCTGCGCGGACTTGAGGATGAAGCTCTCTGACACGCGCCCCACCTCCATCAAGCTCCTCTCCATCGGGTGACAGCCGCCGGAGAGCTGCAAAGTCACCATTTTTCCGCTCCGCCGAGTGACAGCCGCCGGAGACGACTCGGCGACCCATTTCATTAATTTCTAGACTTCGTGAGAAGATCTAGAGATTGCCCACGTCGTCTTTGCCCAAGGAGAGCCTTCGAGGCCGTGGACATTGCACGACGATCCTCCCGAACGCTCAGGATTCCAGTGCATCGCCGACACATCGCCGTCGCGACGTCGGAACTCTGTTTTCTTGCTTTCAAACTTACTTTACGCTTCATTTAGTGATACTTTTTATGATTTTAATTTACCAAAATATACTTTGTTCTATTACGATTCTTCTGGCTTTTACAGATCTTAATTTGATTAACTAAATCGTCTGTAATCGCTTTCGTAAGAATCGCCGGTGATAAGTCTTCATTATCATGAGTTAATAATTAGTAAATAATATAGTTTTAGCCTTAACTCGTGATAAATAGACTTATATTTGTGTTAAAGTGTGAAAAGTGGTTTTCAGTTGATTAATGTGATTTTTTGGGTAATTATGTGATTTTATACGAATTTATATGATTTCTACAGTCTTACTTTTGAGATAAATGAAGAAAAAGAAATAAAACTAAAATATTGCAGAATGGGGGGACCCGCTGGCCAGCCGGGCCCGCAAGCAGGTTGGAAGCTTAGTCGGGGAGCAGTCGCGAGCAGGGGCTCAAGCGGCTTGGACCGATAGGGGCACGTGTGCGCCACTCCCCTTCCACGTCACCAGTGGCCAGCCAGCTGTGGGGCAAGGAGTGGTCGTACACGCGAGAGATGAGACTTTGCTCACAAAGCTAACATTACTATATATTCGCTTGAAAAATCGGCGCACAACTAATGTGGGACTAAACCCGCGTCACACCTTCCTCAGAAGGGGTGGACAACCGGCGTGGGTTCGAATCTTCCTAGAGTCAAAATTCATATATTTTTATCTGATTATCGCGACTTTCTTGCAGATCGCCGGTGAAGGATTAAGCAACGAGAATCGCTAGATCATCGGCGAAAATCTCGTCAATGCGATTCGCGAAGCATTGCTACTAAAATTGCTGAACGATTCGCGATAAAAGGATCGCGAATCCATCGAGTAAATCATCTCCGATTGATCGACGAACAAGCCGTCGTCGGGAAGAGGACGATCCGCCGGGAGACGAGTCGCCACCTCCTGAGATGGTACCAGATGCGATGAAGAGCCTCCTCTTGCTGCGCGGACCTGAGGATGAAGCTCCCTGACACGCGCCCCACCTCCATCTAGCTCCTCTCCGTCGGGTGACAGCCGCCGGAGAGCCGCAAAGTCGCCGTTTTTCTGCTCTGTTGGGTGACAGCCGCCGGAGATGACTCAACGACCCATTTCATTGATCTCTAGACTTCACGAGAAGATCTAGAGATTGCCCATGTCGTCTTTGTCCAAGGAGAGCCTTCGAGGCCGTGGACACTGCACAACGATCCTCCCGAACGCTCAGGATTCCGGTGCATCGCCAATGCATCGCCGTCGCGACGGCGGAACTCTGTTTTCCTGCTTTAAACTTACTTTACACTTCATTTAGTGATATTTCTTTGTGATTTTAATTTACCAAAATATACTTTATTCTATTACGATTCTTTCGGCTTTTACAGATTTTAATTTGATTAATTAAATCGTCTGTAATCGCTTACGTAAGAATTGCCGGGCGGAACTCTGTTTCCGCCCGATTCGCGTTCGCCGGGCGCTGACGTCATCCTGACGTCCGCGCCCTTATTTCCCTTTTTCATGAATTTTAAATATATTTCCTTTTTATTTGCTAGTATAAAATTCATAGAAAATCGTATTCATTGAGAAAAATTCTGAATAATTACCAGATATTATATTACATCCCTATGATCGACCTGGAAAATTACCACTATTTTTGGAAGTTTTATTGAATTATAATTGCTATATTTATTTAGAAATACTTCTAAATATCCGAAAATTTGTATTTTCTAGTTTTATAAATTTTATATTTGCGTGATTTAATATACAACGACTGAGTCACGTCAGCCGGGTGGAACTATGTTTGTGCCCGATTCGTGTTCACCGGGCGCTAACGTCATCCTGACGTCCGCACCCTTATTTCCTTCTTTTTCGTGATTTTTAAATATATTTCCTTTTCATTTCCTAGTATAAAATTCATAGAAAATCGTATTCATTGAGAAAAATTCTGAATAATTACCAAATATTATATTACATCCCTGTGATCGATCTGGAAAATTACCGTTATTTTTGGAAGTTTTATTGAATTATAATTTATATATTTATTCAGAAATACTTCTAAATATCCGAAAATTCGTATTTTCTAGTTTTATAAATTTTAGATTAGCATGATTTAATATAAAACGACTGAGTCACGTCAAGATACCATCTTGATATACTATATGATCTATGTACCACTCTTTTTTCTACTTTTATTTTTTTCTTGCATTTGTAAGTTACCATTAATTTCTACTGAAGGTTACACTATCTAACTCAATTCCAAAAAATTTTAAATTTACAGTGCGCATTTTAAAGACAGTAGCAATTTATGTAATGAATATAATGTTATCAAAATAATCTTTATTGAAATTTTTGTGATGACAAGCTTTAATAAACTTTGAAAGGGTTCTAAAACTCAATGTGGCCCTCTATAATATATTTTTTCATATGCTATAACTAAAGGTGATTTCTTAGATAACTAACCATTTATTGTGTTTTACATTATTAGAATTTCAATGTAGAAAGATTTATTAAGGGTAAGTTATTTCTAGCTAAAATATCTCCTAAGTAGTTTGAGCAGTTGTAATAAGCTTACTTTAATGATTTAATGATAAAATTTTGTAATGGGACCTACAAGCTGCCTTCCACCAATTTTAATGGATAATTATTTATTTCTATCAATCATCCATTCCCAATATAATCATCTTTCCTTTTTTTTCCATCAAATAGCTTATTATTTGCCAGCCTTAAAAACTTTGAATCTTAGTAACTATTTTGGCTTTCTATACAAAATGGCTTCATGTGAAGTCCATTATGAGGAAAACAAGAGAGGTTTTGAAGATAAATTTTCTACTTTACTCTTACAATTTATTTTTTAGGCTTGAAAATATTTGACACATGTTGGTACCACAAATTTTTTTGTTAATAAATACTTGTAATTCAGAGTTCATGTAGAGGTTATGCAATCTTTTCTTAGGAAAGTCGCCAGCATACCTATGCACTTGCTTGAGGTTATATTTTTTATAAATTATGAGCATAATTAATTAACTCATTTAATAAAATATTATTTTCTACTTCCATTAAAAAAATAGAATGAACTAAAGGTAGTGAAAGGGGTATCAATGCTCATTAGCATTTAGTAAAAGAGATATAATAGTTTTTCATTCTAAATTATTTTGTCTACCCTATGGTAAGGTATTATTTAATAATTTATGACTTATAATCTGTGTCCGTAAATATAGATGCAAGAATTATATTGACAAGAGGAAGAGAAAACTTTAGAATTGATATATCAAAGAAGAAGAGTATATGAGGTTATATAGAAAAGAGAAAGAAAGAGAGAGAGAGAGAGAGAGAGAGAGAGAGAGAGAGAGAAGAAGAAGAAGAAGAAGTGGAGATAGTAGAAGAAGAATAAGAACATGGAGAGAATATGTCCAAAATGAGCATGGTGGGCTCAATAGGCTTATTCTAACACTCTTCCTTAAGCTAGAGCATACAAGTCAAACATACCTTGTTTGGTACACGTCATGTCATAAGAGATCTCCACAAGACTCTTAGTGAAGATGTTCGTGAGTTGATGAGATGAGACAATATGAGTAGAGATAATACTTAACATTACCTTATTTTAGATATAATGGTAGTCAATCTTGATGTGTTTTATTCACTCATGAAATATAGGATTCTCAACAATAAAGGTGACGGTGTGATTATTACAATGCATAGGTATTGACATGAGAGATGAGATGTTAAAGTTTTTAAAGAGTGAATTGAGTCACACCATCTTTTATGCTGTTTCAATCATGGCGTGATACTCGGACTCAGCATTGAAGCAAGATACCACCTTCTACTTTTTAGAATGCCACATGACAAAGTTGCCACCCACATATGTGTAATAACTAGTGGTGGACTTACGGTCTCCCTTGTTACTAGTATATCTTACATCCGAGTATACTTCAATATGAAGATGCTTATGTCTTCGA